CAGCCAGCATGGCTGGCTGGGGAATTCTGGGAGTTGAAGTCCACTCATCTCAAAGTGGCCACGTTTGGACAACACTGGTCTACTGCAACACCCTCCATATGGAATTGCACCTCGTTCGAAGACTACTTGGAAACCATAATGGACACCGTGGCTCTTGTGCTGACACTAGACACCACGAACTGCCGCAGGTTTCCGAGGGCGATTTAAGAGGCACCGAGGTTCTCGGCAGACCACCTCTTCCAACCAGAACTGACCTGACGCAAGCCGCTCAAACCCTGCTTGCCGCCTCCACTACCGGGAGCGCCGAGCGGCACAGCCAGGAAGAGATGCATCTCTGTTACGGCCCCCGGTTTGAAGAGTTCACCACCACACTTGCTCTTATCCTTTGGCTTTTCAGAAACAAGCCAGAACAGCTCTTCTGGGAGACTTTCAATTAATTGAGACAGCACCGTAGAGTTGTTTACGTGCTCCGGTTTTATGATTATTTTAAATATTTGCTATGACTGTTTCTGTGCTGTGGCGATTGGCTAATTAATTATGCACCATCAAGTCAGCATCAGCTCTTAGCAACCACCCAAACGGATTTTCTCCAGGACGATTTCTCCCTAATCCGGTCTTTCGACAGTGCATCCAGTGGTGCTGTAATCAAATCCACCCACCTTCTGCAGGTTGTTGCACACGATGGACGTTTTGCCTTATAAACTGCTGAGTGTCGCAATCGGGGTTTAAGCGTCTATTTAGGCAAGCAGGCGCTAAAGCAGAACCATGCCGTGACCCCCCTTTTCTGCTGAAAAGTGGCATTTGGTAAGTTGAATGAAATAATCTCCCCAGCATCTCTAAACCCCATCTTCATCCCCACCCCCAGCTCCATCGAAGATCCGCTCTGGCTGCCACGCCCCTTGTGGACCCCCCCCCATGACCCAAGGCAGAGAGGCGGTCCCTCTGCCCCGGGCACGTGCCCTACCTGCGTGCTTTCCCATAGTTTGCCGTGTCACTGCCTTGCTCCCGGTACCTGCAGATGTCGCCTTGGCAAATCAGGCTCCTCTGAGCACTCAGGAGCGCGTATTTCACCTGGGAAAGGAACAGCAGCAACCCAGTGGAGAGAGGGGTCCTGGGGGCAGCTGTAAGCCTTTCCGGGGCAGAGCACGGAGAGGCCGGAGAAGCCGCTGCCCGCTTTCAGGGGGGTCGTGACCCCCGCTCCTTTTCTTGGCTCATGGCAAGGTCAGGGCTGTCACCCCTCAAGAAACAGCTTATTTCTTCAGCAGAGAACAAGGGGGCCTGCCGTAAGAGAGAGATTTCCAGCCCCCAACCACCCAAAACGTGGGCCCCACCATCATGCAGCTCTTGTGGCTCAGGGAGCTCCCGGGGTGCCCTGAACGCCCCACTGTTTCTTGTGTCATCCCCCCAACCCACTGAGGGCCTTCTTCTCACCATCTTCCGCAGCGGCTTGCTACGAACAGCCATGCCATCCATGTAGTCCTCCAGCTTGAACTGGTAGGTGACTTGCAGCTTCTGCAGCAAGCCATCGAAGAAAACTGTGCCCTGCGGGGGGAGAAAAGGCAGCAGGGGTGAGGGCAAGAAGCATGAGCCTTTGGGGGGGAAGAGTCTACACGACCTCTAGTTTGGGGATAAGGGAGGAGGGATTCAGATCTTCCATGCTGTTCCCCACCGCGGCAGTAACGGGAGAGCTGGAGACAAGATGGGCGGCCAGGTGATTCCTCGGCCCCGGTCCTTCCAGGGAAATCTTGCCCGGGCACATTTCACAGGAATGTGCAGGGCTCTGGATCAGGAGACCAAAAAAATCTTCCAGGCACACAGGCGCACCAACACAGCCCCTGCCTGCCCCTTATTAAAAGAGCTGCAGAGAATACTGGGGAAAAACGCAGCCGCTGAAGGGCTAAGCCTGCCCTCCCGAACGCAGACAGCATGTCCATCACGCAAATGGGGGACAGGCAAAAGTGGCCGGCAGGCTTCGCCTTGCTGCGGGCAAAGGGTAGAACGTTCTTCCCTTCCGTCTTACTTAAGGCAGTTGTCACCTTCATCTAAGTTTTTAAGCTCAGCTTTTGCCAAGTCCAGATGAACATGACATCAAAAGATACTATACTATCTTTAGCTATTGCCTCTTCCCAGGGTTTCCAGCATAGTTCTTACGCATCTCTGTGGACCTGAAAACATCAGCTCCATCCTCTTGCAGATTTTCTGCTTTGACTTTTGGTTAAAAAACGTACTTGCTCCCCAGGTAAATCTGTAAGTGCTGGTGCTGGGGAGCTAATTAATTTGCCCCTTAAGCCAGCTGCCTCATAGTTTTGAAAAGCACGTTACCCCCCCAGCCGTGATAGGGAAGCCAAGAACCACATTCTCTTCGACAGGTTCCCCCTCCTTCCGGGCCCCTCTGCGTTCACGCTTAAAAGCCACTTTTCAGGATGACTCACTCCACACCCACACAGGTATCCATTCAGCTTTCTGCTTCACTCGGGACAATCTGCCGGACGGAGTCCCAAGACTCTGGCCACCCCCCCACCGAACCACCACCTTACCTCGTCCAGGATCTGGAGCAGCTTGGTGCGGATCTCCTGGGCGTTCTCCCCAGCAGGGTCCTTGAGCAGTTGCCGGAACTTCTCAATCACCTGGTAGAAAGCATTCTTCCACAGCAGCGGATCCACGTTCTGGGCATCGGCCAGTTCAATGTCAGTCAGGAGGCAGTGCTCGTACAGCTGCAGCATCTCTGCCCTGAAACGGTACATGCCAGCGGTCGGTGGACAGGCTCTGCTGCCCAGCCACGGCTCACAGAAAGCCGCCTTCGGGCGTCTGCTGCACGACACACGTTGCTCCAGAACAGACCCTGATCCTGCAGCAAAGGCGCCACAGCTCAGTGATTCACAGAGAGAACATCTGGCCTGGCCTCTTCTTTCTCACAGGCCAACAGTGGCCCTCAAGAAATCCACAGGCAAGAGTCCCCTAGAAGCACCAGCAGCTCCCGCGGCTAACAGCTGCTGGCAAACCCACGCCCTCCCATCCAGCTGCCTAACATACACCGGGCCCTCTTCCCTCTGTCTCAAGGAAGAAGCCAGAGCTCTTGTGCTCCAGGTGGGTTTGCACAGCATCCTAGGCTAGGCTAGGCTAGGCTAGGCTAGAACAGAACGGGGTTGCACGCTTTCCAGTCGGCTGCGTGGCAGGAACAAGGCCCTCATGTGCAGCTGCAGTCCGCTTCGTTCTTTGGGCACACCATGTGGTGTGAACACAGAATTGTGCCATATTAACTCGGATACATTCAGGCTTTCGTGTGTTGTTCAAATCTAGTCACCTTGTTCCTGGCCAGAAAGCCCAGCTCTGCAACGTCCTTGCTGACCATTTCGGGGGCCGTTCTTGCCATACTTCCCAGGGGTTGACAGGCAGACGCCCCCCGGCCCCCCGCCCGTTAATCCTAGTGGGGTCAAGTAATGCTTCCAGAGCTAATGAGGCTCCTGCAGCCCGGCCTGGGGGCCTGTGGGCAGCAGCTGCCATGACCCAGTGTTCAAGGGCCCACCGGAAAAACCATGGACCGATTGCCCTGGGCGGCCTGGCACAGGTCCTCCTCCC